CTTTTATAAGATACTAAGTTTTTTGAGAAAGGTAAAGCCAAATGAAGAGGGTCCTGCAGTCCAATCAGTTGATATACAAATAAAACCAACTTCTTGAGAAGTCGGGATCCTGGAGACCTTGGGAGAGGTTTTCCTGTTTATGATTGTTTCCATGGTGGCTTTAATCCACAAGCTCAGGTATGTACTCTGCCCTGGGCTCATTCTTTACTGTGGTTTTGTTATTTTAAGATATTATTATTTGACCAAGACACAGAGAGAATTCTGAATAAAGGCGATCATTTCCTCCCTCTGTGTTTATCGTGCACCGAAGCGCCCCTTATTTATTTGCAATAAGCTGGAAGAGGCTACTATGGAGGAGTACATCGGGGCCTTCCGGATCCTTCCAGCCTGCAGAGGAGACAAGAGGAGGGAGAAAAATGAAAGAGGCCTGACCTGGGCAGTGGCCCTCGATTTCTCCCAGCAGGAGGTAAAGTCGACCTGGGGGAAGAATCTCAGTGAAGCAGAACGTCCCTGGAGAGCCCAGAGTTTGTGGGTGTGGCGATTGTGCAACTGCATTCCCCTCCATTTCCTCCCGACGGGTGCGGATGAGGCCCCCAGGGAAGTATGGCCAGGGCAGCTGTTCAAACAGCCTGCTGACCTGGCAGTTTGCGTCCCAGTGGCTGAGACCTTGACAACCACCAGCACGTTTGCCTAGCGTTTTGCTGACACATGGCCGGGGCCCGGGGCCCCTTTGAGTCACACCCATAACCATCAACGTCTTTTGGTGGGCAAATGGGGGAGTCCTTTTTTCTAATATCAGATGAATATTTTTAATAAGCTTTTTAAAAAAGACACAATCTCATCTGTTTTCAGTTTTTTTAATTTTGCAAAATGCACAGTGTAGTAACCCCAGCAGCAGAGATAGCAGCAAACCTGGGGTCGAGTGGAGAAAGCTGGAAGGAACCCAGTCTGGGTTCATCCTGGGGACACGGACTCCTAACTTCTTTAAAAATCTGGTATCTTTGGTCACGATCAGCATGTGTAATTTTATAATTTTTAAAAATCTGATAAAGCAAGCTGTGACTGAATCATCCTCCTGTGCAATGCCTGCTATTCAGTTGACGTGGGGGGAATTGCTGTCTCCATCACGGATCTGGGATTGCAGACGGTACGTGGGACAGCTTCTGGGTCCTTCCAGCACCACCGGGAAATGAACACGGGCCAGCTCAGCATAACCCACTAGAACACACCGCTCACAGCTCAGTGACGTCCAGGAGTAAATCTGCGTGACCCGTTCAAGGTCCCTGAAAGACCCCTGGGTGTGTCCCTGTTGGCACCAGCACATCACGATGGCACGTGCCCTGGGTGGGCATCCACGGTACTGAGCACCGGGGCTCCTGATCTCTTGAACGAGCAACAATACCGACCAGAGTCAGCAGTCACGTCCTGGAAACAGTGGGCTCTGCGGCCCCAGCTGAGCGAACAAGCCCTTCATTCTCTGCGGTTCAGTGTGGGATGTTAATGGCTCTTCACAGTTTACGGACAGTCAGGGCTCTGAGGCACAGCCAGCCTCACTGTGCTGCTGTGCAGAAGGAAAGAGCTGCCCGGGACATACCAGTCACCCCGGCCAATAGGCCGGCATCTGAACACACGTGGTGTGCGTGCTCCCAGGCGGGCACCCCGCCAGCAGGCGTGCCCAGAGCCTCTGCTCACGCCCTCCCGAGAATGGGGCCCCCAAACATGTCTTACGCTCAAATATATGTTTGAACAATGATGTCATGGTACTGATTTGGGTGTGTTTCCTGAGAAACTGACTCAGGGTGTTTTCCGTAGAGGGATCAGAACTGCCTTAAACTTTGGAGAGTTTGCTCAGACCCGGAGGATGAGGGCGAGGGAGGTTTTGGAGGGCGCCTGGCCTGTGCCCTGCCCAGGAGGGTGGGCCACGGGGGGCCCTGGGCACGTTACAGAGCCCGCCCCTGGCGGGCCCTCCCCCTCCGGGCTCACCGGCTTTCTCCTACCCCTCCTGCAGGGCTGGCAGACACGACGGCCACAGTGGACGCGGCTGTCCGGATCCTGCATCCCATCTCTCCCGGCCCTGACGCTCCGCCCACCCTGCACCTCCTCAGATGCATCATGTTCCCCACTCCACCACCGGGAGAAAACATCCCACAGCTTGTCCTGGAGCAAACGGGCCACCTCCTGTCGGCCTTGCACGCACAGCTGTATGTAGACTTACCTGCGTTTTAGGGCAGAACTAGAATCTTCATGCCACTGACAGTAAGCGCGTGCATACCTTGCTCAGTGACGGGGCGGTGCAGGGCATCCGTACACCAGGCCAACTCTGGCCATTTCCCAGCTCATTTACTTTCCTAACAGGGATCTACTGGTGATTCTAGAACAAAGGTCAGTGCAGCTAGAAGACCACAAATGGCAAAGTGTCACTCACTCATGTAATCACAGCTCCGTTTTTGCCCGGACGTCTGTTCGTCTTTCCTTTCTACCGATGAGGGGTCCCTTCTCTTTGTGCTGCATATTTAACATTTTGAGGGCATTTTTTCTAAAATTTGGTCAAATATTCTGTTGTTAGTGGAAGAGCCGGT